GATTTCTTGCTCTATGCTATCATCACTATCTATGGGGCTGCTGTCACTCTCAGAGGGGGCAGGAGGCACACTCTGGGAAGAGAAGAAAGGGCTTGCTGCAAGGGGTCTGTCGTCACTTCCCACTGGAGGTGGCAGGATTGTTTTGGAAATGTCAAGGATGGCTTCTGCGCACATCAGTTCTGCAGACGTGTCTGCCCTACAAGAGGCCTGCAATGTGAGCTCGCAGTCAGCAATTTTGTTTACTGGAGAGGCACAGCCTCTGGCTTTTTTCACCGGCTTAAAGATCTGGTTCAAGTCACTGCCAGTGCTTTTCAGTTCCATTGATTTTGTACCCATCTCTTTCCTCTTGTTGCTTAAAGTTTTCTTATGGATATCTGGTGAGATGCTTTTGGCTGAGCTAATTGTAAGCCTTGCAGAAATGTCTGCTGCCCCCTTTGCATCAAACTGCTCTCCTCCCGAAGGGACATGGTCAGTTGGTCGGCTTCCCTGTTTCCTAATTTTTTCCAGCTGATAGAGCTGAATGGCTTCTTCAATCCCGTCATCGCTACTTGAGTCAGATATGTGTGCACTTTCAATTATTTGTTCTTCCCTCCAGAAATTCCTCTTGGCCTCACTTCCTTTATTTTGCTCCATACTCCAAGGCTCACTAACTGCAGTCATTTTAAGATGTGCTTGATTCACTTGGCTGAAATCAATAGGCTCCTCGCTGGTTCTAGACTTCAAACATTTATATTGTGAGCTAGCCTTCCGTAGTTTGCGATGGTGCCTTAAGAGGAGTGCTTTACAGCCTTGCTTTATGTTCGGGCAGTTTGCTTTGTTGGTTGTTTCTTTATTATATTTTAACACAGATTTCACATGGGTCTCTCTCCATTCTAGTTTTCTATCTTCCATAATGACACACTTATTAGTTTCTTGCTGTTTCTTCTCATTCAGGAACTGCACAATTTCAGCCTGTATGCTCTGCTCGAAAGAGTCATCACTACTGATGCTCAGAGGGGAAGCAGACCGTGTCTTTTTGCTAATTTCCATGTGGTCAGAAACCAACTCTTCAGCTACCATTTCAGCCTCAAATTTCATGGGGAGATTATTAGCTACCTTGCTCTGCGAGAGTTCCTTTCTGACCCTTTTGTCTCCATCTGTATTTTCCAAACACTGTGCATTCCTTGGCAACAGCTGGTTACCCTTGCTTTTTGTTTTTAAGTACTCTTGAATGGCTTCCTCTATGTCGCGGTCAACAGAATCATCGCTGTCTGAATCTAACACCAGGGCTCCAAACTCAGAACTCTCTTCCATTTCTGTGCCATCAGAATCATCAGGACAATCCTGTTTGGAATATTTAATGTGCTCTTGTAGCAAGCAGGTGTTAGACATAAGTCTCTTTGTACTTCCCTTTTCTCCCTTTTGGTTTTTCTGCATAATACAATCATATTCATTGTTCATGCCCAGGGAAGACTCCTGACTATGCAGATTGTTTATGATCATCTGAACTTTTGCATTTACAGAGGCTCTAGTGACATCCTCTTCCGATTCAGAGAAGCAAACAGGGAATCCACAACTCCTCGACTGCGCAAAGGGCTCCCAATTGGTCTGCAGAGCTACCAGAGGAGAGGCATTCACAAGGAACATTCTAGCAGACAACCCAGAAATCTAGCACAGAGCGGCTTTTTCCTCAAATTGGTCTCCCTTCCATCCTAAGAGAAAAGGAAAAATACTTTTACAATGTATCCACAATACATGAAGACACATAATGCCTTCCACATGATACCTGGTGACTCCACTCACCTGTGAGTAACTCGGAGCCTTACGTCAACTGTTTCAACAAGTTACTTTTTCATATAATTTAAATGGTAAAACTATGGCTAGTATTATAAAGGAAGCCTGGGTGAAATGATGGTCTATCCCGGGGTGGGCAAAATGCGGCCTGGGGGCTGGATGTGGCCTGCCAGGCCATTCTATCCAGGCCATGGGCCCCTAAAAATTTAGAAAATGAATATTAATCTGCCCTCGGCTGCCTGTCATGTGGCCCTCGATGGCTTGCCGAAACTCAGTAAGTGGCCCTCTGCCCAAAATAATTGCCCGCCCCTGGTCTATCCACCTGTGGCCACAGAGGACCCCATGGCTTGTTGGGTCTTGCTACAATTCTGTGTAGGTAATTTCATCTTCCCTACTTAAAATTCTTAATCTGAATATAGGGTTCTTTGACTAGACTCCTATATCACTGTGTGGGATAAAAATTGCCAAAGTGCCCTGCAGCTGCCTTTCTATTGCTTGTGCATTTTTTTTTTTTTTAAATTCTAGAAACCACTTTGGGGCAAAAGAAACAGTAAATGTTGAAACGGACCTTTTGTACTGAAACAACCCTACGACAAAAATGAAAACCATTCTGCTAATGAGTGTATGTATCCTCTTCAGCATCATGGCTTTGCTCAAATAACTTCCTCCACCTATAGCTCCACTTCACCACCTGCACGATGCAGCAGTAAAGTCCTTTCAGGCTGTTTCCAACGACTGCTGCGTTTGTAACACTGCAGTCATTCTGACTTCATCGCAGAAGGCAGGCCCCTCTACAAACAGAAATCTCAAGGGCTTGAAAGAGTGCTAAGATTATGAACAATTATTTACATTATACTGGAAACCCCAAACGGTTTGAGGCCTGTTGTATTACACACTGAACAGCCAAACACTGAAAGACTTAGTGCACCCAATAAAGGTTATAATCCTCCATGGGTCTTCATGATGGCACAGGGGTCCACCTGCAACAGGCATCTGCAGGAGTAAAATCTAATTTGGCTAGCACTAGGCATACTACAACAAACGCCACTGCTCTGATGTCTGAACCTATTTGTCAATTCCACTACACCTTCTCCACAAATACAATGGGCTGACAGCACAGCCTGGCTTCATATTGTAAAAAGGCTATAAAAACAAGCTTTTCTCTCTGAACAACTCTACCCTAACCCTTCTCAAGCATTCTCTAGTTTAAGTGGCCAGAAAGACATTTTTGTGACAATGTAATCTGCATTCACAAGTTTTCATTAAGAACGATTATGATTCCTGAGTGTTTAAATGAATAAAAAAAACACTCATGGTACGGGTGAGGATTGAACAGAAAATGGGGAGAAATGCTGCTTGCTTATATCCATGAGGTACATGGAGCTATAAGCATGAAGAGCTCCATAAATGTGCTAAATAGTATTTTTTTGTCAAACTTGTTCTGCAACAAGGAAACGATCAACTTGAACATCATTGTGACAGCAAGCTGGAACATGGTTCCCATCTCACAGATTTACCCATGACCTATCTCACCTGATTTTCACACACAGCAACCCAACCCTGCAAGACCAAAGGAAACAAATACTTCTGCTGCTTCATTTGCTAGATTCTGGTCACAAAATGTCCTTTGTATAAAATGTTTTCTCCCAAGCCTTTAGCCATGGATATTAATTTCTGATTCCCTCCTCCCCTGTGATAACGGCTCTTCTTATAGAATTTAACATGTAAGGATAGTGATCAAGGACATTCTTCCTTACAGGACAGTGCCTGAAGTAATCTAACACATGTCACTGTAAATTTCAAGCAAAGGAAAAAAACATTTATCCCTACCACGCACATGGTAATAACCTGCTAAATATCAAACCATTATGAAACATGGGTGAACTAGAGAGATAGTCCTCTCTTAGTAACAGCCTGAAAGGTTAGGACAGCGCTTTGGACTGGAACAAAATAACACGGATTTATCAAGTCCCGTGTCTGTACAACTGCATACAATATATTCCCTCGATGTATCATGTCCCGTTCCTGTACACTAGTTTATGATATATTCCTTGGATTTATGTCCTGCATCTGTATGCTATTTTACGATATATTCCCTGGATTTATCATGTCCCACATCTGCATGTTATTTTATGATATATTCCATGGATTTATTGTACCTTGTGCCTGCACACAAGCTTATGATACATTTGCTGGATTTACCGTGTCCAGTAGGACTATACACTGGCTTGCAACATAGTTCTTGGCTTACAATATATTCCCTGGATCGATCATGCCCCACATCTGTCCACAAATTTACCATATATTATCTGGATTTATAGTGTCCCGTGTCTGTATGCAAACTTATGATATATTCCTTGGATCTATCATGCTCCATATCTGTACGCTAGCTCACAATATATTTGCTGGATTTGTCCCATGTTTATATGCTAGCTCATGATATATTCCCTGGATTTCTCCGTGCCCTGTGTACGTATGCAAATTTATGATATATTCTGTGGATTTCTCCGTGGATTTACCATACCCTGTGTCTGTACACAAGCTTATGATATATTCCCCAAATCTACTGTGCCCATCTCTGTACACCAGCTCACGATATATTTGCTGGATTTATGTCCAGCGTGTACACGCTAGCTCATGATATATTCTCTGGTTTTATCATGCTCTGTGTGTGTGTATGCAAATGTATTATATATTCTGTGGATCTATCATGCCCTGTGTGGGTGCAAGCTCATGATACATTCCCTGGATCTATTGCGCCTCGTATCTGTACACTACCTCACGATATATTTGCTGGATTTGTCCTGCAGCTGTACGCTAGCTCATGATATATTCCCTGGATTCATCATGCCCTGCACCTGTACACTAACCTCATGATATAATCCCTGGATTGACCATGCCCTGTGCCTGCACGCGAGCTTTCCATACCTGCCCCAGGTTTCTCATGCCCTGTATCTGTACACTACCTCACCATATATTTGTTGGATTTGTCCCACATCTATATGCTAGCTCAGGATATACTCCCTGGGTTTACCATACACACATGGGGTATTTTCCCCATATCTGTACACTACCTCATGATACATTTGCTGGATTTGTCCTGTAGCACACTTATGATATATCCTGTGGATTGATCATGCCCCATGTCTGTGTGCAAGCTTATGATACAGTCACCGGGCACGGTAGATCCAGGGAATGTATGCTACCTCACCATACAGTTGCTGGATTTGTCCTGCGTCTGTACGCTACCTCACAATATAATTGCTAGAGTTGTTCCACATCTGTATGCTAGCTCAGGATATACTGTTTATCATGTCCTGTGTGTATGCACCCTTATGATATATTCTGTGGATTTATCGTGCCCTGTGTCAGCACACAAGTTTATAATACATTCCCTGGGTCTACTGTGTCCTGTGTCTGTACGATATCTCACCATACATTTGCTGGATTTGTCGCATGTCTGTACACTGTCTCACGATATACGGGCTGGATCTGTCCTATGTCTGTACTCTAGCTCACGATACATTTACTGGTTGTGTCCCACATCTGTATGCTACCTCTTGATACATTTGCTGGATTTGTTCTGCATCTATAGACTATCTCACAATACATTTGCTATATTGTACACTACCTCACAATATAATTTGTGGATGTGTCCTGTGTGTGGACACTACCTCATGATACATTTGCTGGATTTGTCCCACGTCTGTACAATACCTCATGATATTTTTGCTGGATTTATTCTGCATCTGTACGCGACCTCATGACACATTTGCCAGATTTGCCCCACGTCCATTTGCTACCTCACAATATAATTGCTGGATTTGTCCTCCATCTGTACGCTACCTCATGATTACATTTGCTGGATCTGTCCCGTATCGGTATGCTACCTCATATTTTTGCTGGATTTGTCCCACGCCTGTATACTACACCTCAAGATATTTCTGCTGGATTTATTCTGCCTCTATACGCTATCTCACGATACATTTGCCAGATCTGCTCTGCGTCCATACGCTACCTCACAATATAACTGCCGGATTTGTTCTGTGTCTGTATGCTACCTCATGAATACATTTACCGGATTTGCCCTGCGTCCATACGCTACGTCATGATACACTTGCTGGATGTGCCTTGCATCTGTAGAATACCTCATAATATTTTTGCCAGATTTGTCCTGCATCTGTACGCTATCTCATGATACATTTGCCGGATTTGTCCCGTGTCTGTATTCTACCTCATATTTGTGCTGGATTTATTCTGCGTCTCTCCATTACCTCACAATACATTTGTCGGATTTGTCCTGTGTCCTCACAATATAACTGCTGGATTTTTTCCATGTGTGTTTGCTACCTCACAATTACATTTGCTGGATCTGGCCCGTGTCCGCACGCTACCTCGCATGGCTGCCAAATTTGTCCCACGTCTATATGTCACCTTGGCCACATCTGCCCCTCGTCTGTATGCCACCTCACGATACATTTGCCAAATCTGCTCCGCGCCCATACGCTACCTCACAACATAACTGCCGGATTCGCGCCGTGTTCGTACGCTACCTCACGATACACTTGCTGGATTTGTCCTGCATCGGTACAATACCTCATGATATTTTTTCGGATGTGTTCTGCGTTTATACCCTACCTGGCGATACGTTTGCTGGGTTTTCCCATCCTCTGTACGTTACCTCATGAATACATTTGCCAGATTTGTCCCGCGCCCGGCCCTTACCTCACGACAGGGCCCCTGCGCTGATCCCGCCCGACCCCCACCGGACATCGCCGCCGAGCCCGCGCCCCTCCCCCCGCGCCGCCGCACAGGCCAGGCGGGTCGGTTTGTTGTGGGGGCGGCCTCCCCCCCGGTGCCTCAGTTTCCCCCC